CTGAGACAAAGACTGATGGTCTAAAAATAGACACACCAGATGTTCACACCATAGATCTCACTATAGACCTGAGACAAAGACACATCATCTAACAATAGACTCACAAACCATGGACCTCATTATAAATTCAAAATGGACGATATAGGATTAAAGTAGCATCCTTACAACATTTGAGATCTATTTCATGAGCGTAAGTTTGCAAACATTTCACAACGTATTTACAGAAGATACGGAAACAATATGCCAGCGAAAGGTCGTCATATGTTAGTCTTTCACAACATTTTACATTTTAACATGTCCAATGTTATTCTTTAAATACTTGCTTCAATCATATTATTCTTCGTTACGGGTGAAGCATGCTCCATCTTCTTGTTGTAAATAATTGCATAACCTTCTTTTACAAAACCCAGATTCTACATCTGCGACATCTGCAGCATGACTGGCATAGTGCTAACGACATTGGCACCGACCCCGACAGCACGGACACGCCTGTCAGACTATACATAACAGAACCAACAGTAAGTTTATTTTTTGTCATCTGCGTTGTGTGATCTAGTGAGACAACGCATTTTATATTATGAAGATATGCCGCTTGTCTTACAAATCAATATGACCAGGCGCGTAGCAAACCATGTTTTTCATGTAAGCCCGCTAGGTTGCAAAACTTTATATACTCACACTTTGCTAAGGATAAAAAACTTCACAAATGTAGATTCATAATTTGAAATTGTATCCATTTAAAACTGGAAAAATAATAATATGGTAACCCCTCTTTAAGCAAACAGTCAGTTTAATGTAACCTTATGCACTTGATACATGAGTAACCATCAAAATGGTCTTCATGGCACCAATCAAAAATTTTGCAAATCATGGAACGAGTCATTGACAAGTACATAACACCTGTAAATAGCAGGTATGGGATCCACAAGATGAAATGACATACTGAAACCTAAGATCCATGCTTACAATAAGCTTAGATATTTAAACCAAATTTGACCCCACATCATAGTTTTCTGTTGAATCCATGATTTGATCCTTAGCAAAGTGTGAATAGTATATTTAGATAGCATTCAGGGCTTGCCCAACCATTTTATCAACAATCATGTGTAAGCCCGGGCTCTTTTTTATAATGGTAGCTACGCCCCTGATGACTGTTGCTGTCGCCTAAAAAACAGTTTATAGATTTGTTGAAATAATCCTCAAAAGGCATGAAATGTCTTGAGTTTGTTTGTCAATGTTGACAAAGTGCCATTATCTGTTCCACATATATGCTTTTTCTGTGAGTTCTCTCGAAGCGACGAAGAGACATTGACTCAATTCTGAGTGGGCTTTATAAACGTCATTTGCGACGTCTTCTCAAATCAACCTGTGAAGATCCGAGTTAAATTTGGTCTTCAGCAACCCATGCCTCTCGTAAGAGACGATTAACGGAGCGGGTGGTCAGGCTTGCTGACTTGGTTGTCAAGTGTCATCGTATCTCAATTGCGTATCAATTGCGTAGATTGATGCTCAGGCTGCTGATCAATGGAATGACTCGGCTATTTACAGACCGCCGTCATATAGCGGGAATATTGCTGAGTGTGGTGTTAATCAACACATAAACAAACACATCAAGCTGGAACTAATCCTTCGTCATGTTAAGGATAGTCTTATACCTTTCTTCAACACATGATTGTCACACTGAGGGAAATAGGTTTGTCCTGCACTAATGCCCAAGGTGGACTACTGCTTGCCACCCATCCCCTCGACATGACGTATTCCATCGGGATTGGAATCTACCCAACTTGGATACGGTTGTGTGCTGCAAACAAGTCAGCGAGGCCGGCCAAACGATCCCGTCAGATGCCACTTACGATAAACCACTCCTTATATTAATCTGCCCGGGATATTATGACAAGTATTGACTGCTGGAGACCAGTTCTAAACCATGTCTGCATGAGGTTCTTATGACATGCATGAATTGCTGGAGACCAGCTCTAAACCATGTCTGCATGAGGTTCTTATGACATGCATGAATTGCTGGAGACCAGTTCTAAACCATGTCTGCATGAGGTTCTTAAGACATGCATGAATTGCTGGGGATCAGTTCTAAACCATGTCTGCATGAGGTTCTTATGACATGCATGAATGGCTACAGATCAGTTCTAAACCATGTCTGTGTGAGGTTCTTATGACAAGCATAAATCGCTGGAGACCAGTTCTAAACCATGTCTGCATGAGGTTCTTATGGCATGCATGAATCGCTGGAGACCAGTTCTAAACCATGTCTGCATGAGGTTCTTATGACATGCATGAATCGCTGGAGACCAGTTCTAAACCATGTCTGTGTGAGGTTCTTATGACATGCATGAATTGCTGGGGATCAGTTCTAAACCATGTCTGCATGAGGTTCTTATGACATGCATGAATCGCTGGAGAACAGTTCTAAACCATGTCTGCATGAGGTTCTTATGACATGCATGAATCGCTGGAGAACAGTTCTAAACCATGTCTGCATGAGGTTCTTATGACATGCATGAATTGCTGGGGATCAGTTCTAAACCATGTCTGCATGAGGTTCTTATGACATGCATGAATGGCTACAGATCAGTTCTAAACCATGTCTGCATGAGGTTCTTATGACAAGCATGATCCGACACGGATCTCCGCGGTGTTTAGCCGATACTTACTCGTGTACGTCATGACGTATACAAAAACATCCCTGCTATTGATGAATCTTAATAAACTGTGAAACAATTCCATGCGGTAGAACCCTTGGTGAGAGAGCCAAGTGGTTTAAGCATCTGCTCGTAACGCGGATCGAGATTCTGTTCTCCATATGAATACTTATGTGCTGAGTCCATGTGTGGCGATGACTGTGAAACGTGTTGGCTACGTCCTGGTTATTCGAGTGAAATATTTAGTTTTTTCGAAACAAGCTCACGTTTGTCATAACAATAACCTATGATGGAAGGAAGTATGTCTTCCTATGATTCAAGGATATTTTTACGTGTTGATAAGTTCAAACAATAAGTTCAGCGGAATTCAGTGAGACACCAAGCAACAACAACAAAGGAAATGTTAACAATTCGATTCTAAAATTAAGTACATAAACCTCTACACTTCAACACAGAGGAAGTACAATAGAAGTGCAAAGTAGAGGGCCAGTGAAAATACAATGCCAATATAATATATAAGCAGTGATCATGATTATACAGACAGAGATGAAATACACCTCCCTACAGATGTGGTAAACTTCCAAAATAGGCAAAAGATGAGAGTGATCTTCACAGAATTGCTGGTCTTTCTGTGATATGAGATGCTTGCTGCTTGGTTGGTTTGTTGTTTAATATTCCCGCCATATGGCGGCGGTCTGTAATTAATCGAGCCTGGACCAGACAATCAACGTCATGAGCATCGATCTACACAATTGGGATACGATGACATGTATCAACCATGTCAGCGAGCCTGACCACCCCATCTCTTTAGTTGCCTTTTACGACAAGCATGGGTTACCGAAGACCAATTCTAGCCCGGATCTTATTCACTGGGCTCGCGCCAGCAATCTATACATAAATGTGTAACCGGAACTTTCTATAATATCCTGGTCAGACTGTACTGGAAAATCCCGGGCGGCTCTCGTACCTTCCAGATCTCTGAGTTTAATATAGCACACCAATGATCCTGCAGTCACCAGGAACAATTTACTGCACTGTTCTACAATGAATAACACTGCCAGTGATAATTAACACCATGTCAGAAAGCATTGTATGTATCTTTACTTTACAGACTGGTTATGAAGTCATCTACGACTATTACGACTTCGACCAAACACATCCAAATGTCATCAACGCCTTCGACATCACGTCATGCTACAGAGACAACCAAGAAATAAACTTTTAGATTACGTTTCCAGGTAGTACATTATGTTCAAAATAGTTAGACATTAAAAACAAAATCCGTGAAGTAAATGAAAACACCCCTTGGGCTTCCTAGGTAGAATTGGTAACATAAGCTGTTGTAAAGGCACTGGAATGTATCGGATGGTAAGGCACTGTGTTGGCACCGGACAGTGCTCATAATATCAATCACTTGTTTGTCTGGCCCGGATTCGATAAGGTACTAGTCGATACGTTACATGATAGGTAGAATATATTTGAGTGTTGCTTTAAAGAACCAATCAACCATGGGGTACGAAGATCTTACGTTGTTTAGTACTACCGATTCATATCTTTCGAATGGTCTCATGGTTGTCAACTGACAGTAAGGAACCGATAATGCTTTCAGGAATAATAAATTTCCGATCTAATCATCCCCAAATTAGCCAACTATTACGACTGTCAACATCTGTGACAGACAAGCTTGGTTGTACACTTGGTCCGGTCTAGTAACGTCATTTTTGGCGGTCGCTCAATTTTGAACCAGAACTGGTCCTTGAATATACGCTTGTCACCGGAAATCTCACTTATCGCAAGTTGGCGCGTGCAAAGCGAGCCGGGAACCAGCTTAGTAACGGAAGTATCAATTGAAGCGACGAAACTATTTCAACTATCATACAAAACCTCAACCCCCATTAATGCGTGAGTAGGCGTAGAGGTACCATCTGTTTATAAACTGTATATTGTATTCCTCTGTATACATTCCTCAAACCGGATATCTATTAGTCCAGAAACCTCGCCTTTATTTGTCAAAGTGTCCAGTCTTTGTTTGAAAATCCGGACATCCGTTAATCTAGAAACATCGTTTTCTGGGCACCTTCAGTTGTCAAAGTGATACTTTATTAAAAATCAGCGCATCAGTTAATCCGGGAGGCTCACTTTCTGGCGACCTTCTTTTCGCAATTAATGTATCCATACCTTATTCCCAAATCCAGACCTGTTAATCCGGTTGAGGTGTCTGAACATTATACAGACATGGATTCCATAGTGTTATTGTGTCTGAACCGGAATTAAAGACACAGGTGCGAATCACGTAAATGTAACTGAAGCTATAACAATTGTTAGCTTTATTTGCAATTTCAGGTAATACAAGTTCTATTTTGCCCGCGCAAGAAAACGTCGTGCAAGACGTGGCAAGGATTGACATTGCCGGTGCAGCCCGAGTGACCCCTCTACGTATTCAGGATCTGGAAGTTCACTGGGATGAGAACAATACGTACATCATTGGGACATTGCTGTATCAGGCCCCTCTCACCGGTGAGACGAGTGAGGTGATTGAACCCCCCGCTTTGAACAATATGCAGGTTATATTACGGCGGTTTTGTCTGAACATGTGAGGAAATTCCAAAATCGACCAGTTTGTAGAGTTACTATTTTGGAAACCCATGAATAGGGTAATTACACCTAGAGACACTTGTATGCACACCCAGCGAATCCTTCACTGGCAAGGGAGGCCACTCTACACAGGGGATCTGTACCAACGTTGCCTGGAATAATGAATAATATGTTACGAAAACAATGCTTATTTGTTCCGTGGCTGAATCATCTTGAACTGCCACAGTGATCAGCGAAACCACCCTTACACTGCAGCATGTATTACCAACCCTATGTAGATATTTGTGTACGATTCCATTCCAAGACCAATCATCATTGTTCAGTGCCATCCCAGACACCGTGTGAGGTTTCATGGTCACTCTTAAAACCCCCATCATCATATTTCATTCCATCAGTGTGACATTTTATGCGCTGAATTCTAGCAATCTTAAATTTTGCTGTCTACTTCCACTAAGCATGGGTAAATTTTGTTGTTGTTTTGTTAGGTGGCGCTGACCACGAGGTGAGCATTGGTCAGGCTTACACAGCTCTGGATACTGCGGTGACAAGCGGTCAACTGGTTCTTGGTGTTCCCCAAGGAAACACGGTATGGGCTTTGTTGGACTGTGGACCTCAGGTGTTTGGATGGTAACATCAGTGGAAGACTAACTGATGTGTGTTTATGAAGGAACAGGTTTTGTGTGAATTGATACTGGTGCAGGTTGAATTAGTATTGCACTTTGATCTGGACACTTGTTGGTGGACTTCCAAAGTGATGACGTTATTGACGAACATGATGTTGGCGAAACCCCAGAGCCCGGGTATTTTGTTTACAAAGCTACCACCATGATCATGTGGTGAGTGAGTGAGTTTAGTTTTGGGCCGCTTTTAGCAATATTCCAGCAATAACACTGCGGGGGAACCAGAAATGGGCTTCACACATTGTATCCATGTGGGGGATCGAACCCGAGTCTTCGTCATGACGAGCGAACGTTTTAACCACTAGGCTACCCCCATCGCCCCCTGATCATGCAGATCTAGTTTTAGAAACCACGACCAAAGGGTTCTCGTGCCCGTTGGCAGCATATGGACACGGGTCAGTCAAGGTATCCAGTTAAATCAGTATGAAGGATTCATACCGTTGTGGCTGATCCTTGCATACCTACCTTCAATTCTGCTTGCTATAATTCATAAAATCGAAGGGTACGTATTTTCGCTGGGTTTGAGGAACCCCATGATTGCAGCTTCCAATCCCCGAAACGTTGCATCTAGGTTTATCAGCAGGCTGTAACACTGTTTGTCTTGGACAACTGTCCGACTTGTCGGCAAAATATGACCAGCTAAACCGACTCTGTCCGTGAGGACTGCAGGCCTACGCAGATTGTTACTCGTTCATCTGCCTTTAAAAGCAGGCAGGAAAGACAAAACAGAAGAGAGAGGTGACAGACAGCGGGAAGAGCGCGAACAGACCAGAAGAAAGGCCAGCCTGGGACAGGAAGCGACAAACTGACCAGCCAATCCAGCCCATCTATTGCCCAAGTGTCAGCCTCGCACTTCTCCGCTTTCCCCTTGAGCAAGCTGTGTGCAAACCTGCCTTCCCCTGCAAGTTGTACTGCCAGACCTAAGACAACCATTCTTGGTACGTCACTACGCCTCCAGTGTTTCAAGAGCCCCGGAGGAGTTACAAGCCGCATCGTGTGTTTGACTTGTTGTAACTTCAAAGACATGTATCACTTCCCTCTGACAGGCTGTGATCTCACTCACTCAATTCAGAATTCCACCTCCTGTTTCAGAGCACTGTTCTTAACGCCACGAGCATCACAACAGACATCTGGAGGCAACAGACATCAGCAGTGCAGTATTCATCCAAATGTTAGTCTCAAACCATGCAAATAAATCATTATTGTTCAAATTAAAGCATTGCATAACTAAAACAATTAAAAAAACAAATTTCATTTACAATAAGCCAAAAAGAACAATATTATAATGACTAAACGTATGTTAGAAGAAGCTGTACAGTGTAATATAACTATTACATTCTAGATTCCGGGCGAAAGATTTCGCAAAACGGACCGTTCTGTAATCTAACAATTTGTACACCTTAAATGTACGATAAACCCGTTCTTATTTACAGTATCAGTCTTGCATCATTTCACGTTTTCTGCAAATCGTGCATTTCCCAGAGGGGATGGTAATATGGTCCTAACCGGACTGTCACTAGAAGACTGCGCTGGTCAGTGTCTAGCTGCCTTGGTCTTCTCGTGCCGGACATTTCAGTACCAACCAAGTAGTGGCAAGTGTTCCCTCACCTCTGACCTCCCTGACACAAGTCATACAGCAAGCCACGTGGAGGCGTCGCATGTCTACACACGTGAGTCTCTTGGTCCAATTGCCTTCTTTACAGGACATGCTGACCCTGTCTGCGAACACCTGGCATTTTCATTGCTTGCCAGTGGTCCATTCATATACTTTCAAATGTTCTTTCCCCTTTACACAACATGGAATCAGTTTCTGAGGATAGCCCAGTTTTGGTATTTGAAGATCCCGGTTAGAGTTTATCTTCAGCAACCCATACTGCTTGTCGTAAGAGGCCACTAACGGGATCGGGTGGACAGGCTCGCTGACTTGGTAGACACATGTCATCGTATCCCAGTTGTATAGACCGATGCACGTGAAGTTGATCACTGGATTGTCTTGTGCAGACTCGAATATTTTGAGATCGCCGCCATATAACTGGAATATTGCTGTAGCTTTAAACAAAGACAAACAAACGAAGTTTTGAAATGAAAGTTTGGATTGTCCAGTTAAATCTACCAATGTAGATCTACACCAGTGTGTATCTGTATCAGCGTGTATCACTACCAGTGTATGTACCTGTACCAGTATATGTACCTGTACCAATGTGTATTTTTCCATAGTGTGTACTTACAAACGCTTCACGATTTAACATTCAGATGACTGGTACAAAGCATTGTCAATACACGTTTCAGGCGATTATACACTGGGGTTTGGAGTGCTCTATTCCACGTACATCGGGAACAAGTCCTTCTCAGAGACACACCCCAGCATTCCCACGGTCAACTCGTGTGCACAGCTTTGTATAGATGCGTCGACGTCAAAACCATGTACATCTTTTAATTACGCCCAGAAATACGACACGTGTGTCCTTGAGTCACATGACCTGAACGACGTGTCCCCCTCTGATGGTGTTTCAAGCACTATCTGGAACCACTACTCACGTACGTTCGAGTCCTTGCTGCCACGAATTCCACTGCCGTTGTCTTACTATCATTGATCCTAAAATCCGACTCATATACACAAGGGGACATATTTAAGGCAACCCTGTCATTTCAGACATTAAAATAAAAAATCAAATTGGTGTACGATATAATGTTACAACACGTGGATTACAAACTTAGTCAATGAATACACAATGATACTTTAGAAAGTGGTCAAATGTAGTGCATGCTATATTTGGGATTGCACTTTCTCAGTAAAGTACAGATTCTATAGTACTTTTGTTGGGTTTAATCTCATCCGGGATTCGAACCCATACACTCAGAGTCAGACACTTAATCGCCAGCACACAAAGTCAGCCGTCTAACCCACTCAGCCAACGTGCTTCCTGAAAATTATCATTTGAGGTTCCCATAAATACTGTTACAGTCACACACACGCACGCTCTGATAGTATTTGCGTATTGCTCATAGCGGCATAAACAGCCACCCACATACACTTGTATGATACATTTGTTTCATTGACAAATATGTTGTTTTTTTCTTTTATATATTCAGGTGACTACAGCTCAGACTTCAAGGAAAGCAAGGGGTATACCATATCGCAAAAAGCTAAACTGACTATTCAGCAAAGTTCGGTAACTGACTGCGCAATGTTGTGCGTAGCAGAAACGGATTTCTCGTGTGACAGCTTCATATTTTGCACGGATCTCACGTGCAGACTCCAAACAGAGTCTCTTTTTTGACGTGGATCACGTGTCAGCTATCCCGTATGATGGGTGCAGTATTTACAACCGTCAGTATAAATTGTTTGGTTCCCACGTTTAACGATGTAACCAATAATTGATAACTCGTCTGGTCCAGACTATATTGTTTACAGACCGCCGTGGAATGGCTGCGTCCGTTTTTCACCAATCTTTGATAGCAAAAGTATTTGAAAGGTACTACATACTTGCATTGTATCGATGCTGTGAAATTTCAGTGATAACACTGGGGTGTACCTCGGTACCTTTTTATTCTGGTTCTGTGCATGCCATGATGGTTTCGTACCAATTACATATAAAAGCGAAACGGGCATTCTCACCTGGAATATACATTACAAATTTAGGACAAATAGCGAAACGAAATAATATTAATATATTACAATACCCACGTAACACCGAGTTAGTGAGCTGTGAAACACAGTTAGTTTAGTTTGGCTTCACTGGACAGAGAGAAGTGGGTTTCATCGTTATGTCACATACAAGTGCCAAATCTACATACTGTTGACGTCGAATTCATTTTATTCATTGTTTACGAAATAACGATCATCCCGAGAAAAGGTGTCAATTATCGCCATTCCACTTGTCTCGAACAAGTGGAATTATTTTTACTTTACCAAACCGCTTCGAGTTGTCTAGATTTTTGCTGCACTGTAATCTGTGGTTAGAACGAAAACCAAGGGGCCACTGAATTTAGTTCGTTATGACCAAAGTTCGTCCGACTAAAAAATACAACACGTGTCCGGCACCAAAAAAACAGCTCGTTACACGTGTTAGTTCATTATGAACGTGTTTGATACAGACGTAGTTTACCGTACTTATCAATAAAGCATGTTATAATGATTTGAAACCTCTGATGCGTCTAGGTAGATTTCGTAGACGTCATATTAGAAGCACTGATATATATAATGTATAAAATATATCAGTTCAAGTCGGACAATTCACTCTAGTTCTTTTCAGGTATGCATTACCCGAATGGGCGTCTCTACCTTCCACATGATCTCACGGCGAACACATGTCTTCAGAGTAGGTTAAATTCTATTTCAGACATATATCTACGTTATGAAAGCAATAAGTGAGTTGGTGAGTTTAGTTTTACGCCGCTTTTAGTAATATTCCAGGAATATCACAGCGGGGGACAGCAGAAATGGGCTTTACTCATTGTACGCAAGCGGGGAATCGAACCCGGACCTTCGATTCCACACATGGGCACAGTGAGTAGTTCGTTATATCACAGTGTCAGGTGACATTTGTTCTTATTGCTAGTAAATAATTACATCTCTGGGGCGTGGTGGGCGAGCAGGCTAAGGCGCCAGGCTAGTAATCCAGCGAGGTTGGAGGTGCCGGGATCGAGCCCACCTGTGACCGGGTGTAAAAACCTTGGAGTCAACTTTGTGTGCAGACTCTATCACAGTTGTCACAGCCCCTAGTGTGCAGTACACAACCCTGTGCACTTAAAAGAACCCACGAATCCGTTGGTATATGACCAGATGGTCGCCACATGGATATGTGCAAACACCTAATGCGGGTACAGCAACGTGCAGTTAACTTGGACAATGTACTGTGACTACGTGTCCCAGTCCACCCAGCTGTGAATGGGTATCTCGTAAGGATGGGAAAGCCACGTTAACTCGGTGTGCCTAGTGGCTGCAAGAGCTGTTGGCTCCCACAGGGAGTTGAGATTGATAATACGAAGTGCCGTTGAGACTGACATCCTATGATCAAGGGAAAAACAAAGCCCCCGTGAGCAGCCCAGCTGGAACTCGGCGCTATATAAATAGATTATAATAATAATATTAGTTAATTATGTCATTGCTTTATCATGTCAGTTTGCTGTATCAATAACTCAGTAGTTCATTATATCACTATAAAAAGCAACATCACCGAAGAGTATTTACAATTCTCACTAACAACATCATTGTCTCAAAAAGCTACCAGCCCCAGTACAACTCAAGCAATAACAGATGGGCCAGCGAATGTAACTGCACACACAGAATCTCTCTCATCATCAGCGACACCGACAACCACGACTGGATCGACAACAGCTACATCCACATCAACTACTATCAAGGTGCAGAAACCTACTCCTTGTGCTTGTGTCTGCAACAGCCCCACAACGTCAGCTGCATCCACATCAGCTACTGTCAAGGCGGAGAAAACTACTCCATGTGCTTGTGAAGGCAAAAGCTCTACGTTGTTAGCTGCATCACCCTCCTCCACAAGAACGTATACTGGTGAGTCAGTTTTCTCTATAACACCTGAATGTTCATCGTGTTACAATATAATAAAAAAAATACCCTAATGCGAAACATCACTACTGCAACAACTTACTGTCATGTCTTCATTACAAAAGCAAACAAATTTAATGTACAATAAAACTTTCCCCCTATTACATGTAATCAACACTGACAATATTAAAACAATATTATACAATTATAGATTGGTGATGAGGTCAATACCTGGTTTTATGGACCCGCGAAAAGTAATATTGACCGAGGACGAAGCTTTTCGCGGGTCCATAAAAACTGGTATTGACCGAATTCGCCAGTCTATAATTGTTTTAGTATGTAATTACCGAAAAAAGCTCCTAAAATCAAAAACATGTCCATTTAGTCAAGAAAAGTAATTTTATTTTCACTACAAACCAATAACGTTATGTCAACAATACTGTGACATGTAAACAATAGAATGACGTCATAGCTTGACGTGAATGTCGTCATAGCTTGACGTCAAAGTAACTCAGGGCAATATGACTTTTGATTGGACCTTGGTTGGAGTCAACATGCTTTTTCTGTTGACGGTCACGTGACCGCCTCTAGACCAATCAGGTAGCCGGAAAAATATGCTTGCATAATAATAGTAAATATGTATTATATCGGTTTCCATTCGTTGCTTGTTTCTTCATTAGCGCGTTGCTTTGGACTGCTATACTCCCTTTTCGCACTAAATTGTACCACAATATCGCCACGGAAAACGAGCTCAGTTATCTCCCCTACAGAGTTCCTGTACACTGTTGGAGCACCGTGCAACAATATTCAGGGTCTCCTTGTAATTTCTAAATGTAATTACAAAACTTTTGCAAGAACTATAGTTGAATAACTAACAACATGATGGTAATTTGTAAAACACATACACCAGGACGGAATTGTCACAGACAACGGTAGACACAATTTGAAATGCACGTTTCTCCATAGATTTTTTACAGAACCATGACACATTCGTTGAATAATTCAGTATTGATCAGCTGGCATGATGATAAGATAACATCATTAAATATTTGCACGAAATTAACACAACATTATAGAAAGGTGTGATAAATAATATTACATTGCTTTGAACGTTCAAATATCGCTGATGATTATGATGATCATGATTCATTGCACTGGAGTATCATATAGCAGGATTATAAGTTACCTTATGACAGTTGATATACAGTGTTATACATCTCATCAAAATGCATTTATTTTAGGAGGACACAAAACATCACCGTCGTCGTCGGCGACGCAGTGTGGGGAAACGTCACCGTCAAAATCTTCGCCAGCAACAGGTATCTTGTAATCGCAATATCTGAAATGAATGAGTACCTAGCCAATTATTTGGGCTCTTTCTCTGGCACTAAGTAATAGATCTCTGACAGTGTGGTGCATTTCAACAGGATGAATCAATGTTCGATGGCATGGAATATCGATAGAGCTGAAAGAGTGGGGTGTCGTTTGGCAAGGTGAAGCAGTGATAGATCTCAGGGAAGGTAACATCGTTATGCTAGATGAAGCAGTGATAGGGGTTCAGGGAAAGTAGCGTCCGTTATGGAGATCTGCACCCTGGGTGATGGATGAGCAAGCACTTGTAGTTTTGGAGATCTGCTCACAGGGTTCCATTGACAGAGCCCTTTGCGTTGTTCAGTTTGGTGGCAATTACGTTATGGTGTGGGACACAATCACATCTCATGGTCAGACAGATCTTGCCATGTGCCAATGTAATCTGACAGGTCTGCGATACAGGGATGGGATCACCGAGCCTCATGTGCAGCCGTTCATTCAAGTACAGAGACTTCTCGCTTTAGCAAGATAATGCCTGTCCACATGTCGCTCGTCTTGTGACAGATTTCCTGAAACAGCAGGACATCCCGGTACTCCCCTGGCCAGCTATTTCTCCCATTACGTCAAGCCCAGAATCAGCCGTGGACGTTAGCTGAATTGGGACAAGCGTTCAACTTGGTTCAGAAACAGAACAACATTACCCAAGCTTACTTCAATCGCTTAGTGTCGTCTATGCATCGTCTTTGTCAAACCTGCAATGGTGGACACGCACGTGAATGGTGGACACACACGTGAATGGTGGACACGCACGTGAATGGTGGACACACACGTGAATGGTGGACACACACAATGCTAAATTTGAAAATGAGTTTTGTCATCACATCTCTTAAAGGGCGTGTCACAATGCCTGGAGTCTAATCATACAGAATATGATATTACCCTGTCAACGGTTAAACAGGAAAACACTTGAAATCGTGATATTATCTTTTTACATTAACAAAATAACATGACATAAAACAATTCACAGTTACTTTATTCCAGTAGTGTTATTGCACCCCATAATATAAAAGAATTATATTAATTTTTTTCCACTTTCCAAGGTACACTTGTTGGAGTAGCAATCGCAATGTTGGTTCTGGGCGGCATCCTCGGTGGCGTCATAGTTTTCTTCATTCAACGACGTCGCGGGGGTGATATGAAGTACGACAAATATATAACCAACCCAGCGAACATTCATTAAACTACGTGAGAGTAACATTTGGATGTTTCTTATATATACCTAAGTTCGATAACAACAGTGATGAAAGTAAACAAGGCCATGTTAACACTCATGTTGGAGGCTTACAATGAAACACTGAGTTTGATTAATTGAATTTAGTTTTACGCCGCGTTTAGCAGTATTCCAGTAAAATCACGGCGTGGGGCACCAGAAAAGAGCTTCACACATTTTATCCAAGTGGGGAATCGAACACCAGTCTTCGGTGTTACGGGCTAACGATTTAACCATTAGGCCAACCCACCGGCCCTTCAATAAAACAAACAAAAAACGTCTGTTCGATGGTGATGAATGTGATACCAGTTGTAGTTGTTTTGATCAAGTGATGGTCTGATGTAAATCATGAGGGCTGTTCCTGCTGTTGGAAACGAGATTGTTTTGTGTTTTGACGAACAAGGATATGTGCTAAGCTGGATTCTTTCCTGCAGCAAACCTACGGTGCGCAGATGTTGATTGTGTGCTTTGTTTCATTGGTTACCACAAGCTTGTGTACCTAAAGCCATGTTGCATTTCTTCCTGCTCGGAGATCCGGGTTAGAATTGATCTTCAATAACCCATGATTGTCGTGAGAGGAGACTAACGGGATCGTGTGGTCAGGCTCGCTGAATTGCTTGACACATGTCATCGTATCCCAACTGCGTAGATCGATGCTCATGATGTTGATAAATGGATTGTCTGGTCCAGACTCGATTATTTACAGACCGCCGCCATATACATGTAGCTGGAATAATATTGCTGAGTGCGGCGTAAAATTAAACTCACTCACTCACTCTTCCTGGTCGACTTCTCGTCAAATCATGTTATCATGTTCGGTGAAACAGTAACACATGTGAATGTGTTGTATGCTTATATTGCATCACGCGCTCAGCCGTTTCAGCAGAATTTAAGTCCATCTTAGTGTTAACGTAAACACAAACATACTGAGTAATTGAATATTTCTAAATAAATAATTATTTTACTTTTGAACTTTCATTTAATATCTGTCATATTGATGGTGTTAAGAACCGCTCTGAAGTGGCAATGATGTACAACAAATACAGTTTGCAAAGATGAACGTGGATGGTAGTGCATTGCGTTTTTCGGACATATTTGCTTCTACGACAATGACGAATCAATCCAGTCAGGGTTAAAATGTAGAAGGTTAATTATATTTATTGATCATTATACAGGTCTTATTTGTGAAAGGTACCAAAGTGTTTTAATACTTACTAAACATTATTACCAATTGATTTAATGCTCGTTTAGAAACCAATAAAACTGTACATATCAAAATGCATTAAAGCTCGCTTACCAGCAGCCAAGTATACAAGTGCCATGAATGAAAGTACACATAGTACAATGTACAAAGTAGGACTACAGACTACATACAGTGTTGGTCTATTTTGAACATATTCATCAGAAAGGCTGGTTGGTTGGTTTGTTGCTTAACGCCGCATTCAGCAATATTCAAGCCATAATGGCGGCAGTGTATAATTGAGTCTAGACCAGACAATCCAATGATCAACAACATAAGCATCGATCTACGCAACTGGTATACGATAACACGTGTCCTCCCGTTTATGTTAGTCGCCTCTTACGACAAGCATGGTCTGCTCAAACCAATTCTAACCCGGATCTTCACGGAGTCCGTTCGGGTTCAAATGTGAACGATGAATGATTGAATATCTCGAAATAGGGATAAGTGCACAAAGCAAATATGACACATGGTCCCAAAACCTCTGTACCCAACAGGATCTCAAATCTGATGTTTCATGAGCGATCGCGGAAAAGGTTGTTTAAGAAACCATCATGTAATATTGTGCTATTTTCACGCTTCACAGTGAGGGTTGACTGTTTCACAGCGGCTGGTGGAATAGCACCAGCTTTCATTCAGATGCAACTCAGCACAGCCAGGTGAGATGACCCCAGCTGGTCAGGCACTGTTCAATCAGCCGTTTTTCACCCCTCGATGTGAAGCGTGAAAACAGCATAATATTACATGATGGTTTCTTTAACTACTTTTTCCTTGATCGATCATAAAATGTCAAATTTCAGATCCAGTTGGGTACAGAGGTTTCAGGACCATGTTTCTCATTTGTGTTTTGTGCACTTATCCCTATTTTGAGATATTTAGTCATTCGTCGTTCTCATTTGAACCCAAACGGACTGTAGTTCTTTCTAGTCAGTTCCACATCATTCTATAATATTCTGTCTAAATCCGGCAAAGTCCATATATAGCACACGACTGACTCCGGAGACTGACACACTGCAGATGGCCACACCCGACTGTTAGAATTCTGTGTCCATTCAGACAACATAGCAGCTTTTTCCAACATTCTCTTATTATTAACGGTTAATGATGCAAGCACCACAAAACTTCCTTTTAACACATTCAAAAAGGCACCAGCAAGTAGGTTTTGGAAAATGT